GGTATTAATTAAAGGACTAGTAAGGTATTAATTAAAGGACTAGTTATTTCATGTGTTCTAAACATTAAAAACAATTGGCTACTTGCAATGTGTGATCCAGGTGTGCATTCCATGTCCCTAGCGAGTGGACAACCACACCAAGGTATCTAAATGTTTTAACCTGTTCCGGTTGTGCTAATTAAACAGGTTTGTAATCACTAACAATATGTATTTGCAATTTTTAAACTTTTCATATAGAGTCAGAGTTCACAAAGAAACTTTTTTCTCTCCAGCTGCAAATCTCCAATTGTTTTTAATGTTTAGAACACATGAAATAACTAGTCCTTTAATTAATACCTTACTAGTCCTTTAATTAATACACAACTTTTACAATTATTGTTTTTTTCCTGTAGTGTTTAACAACCAAATAGAAGTTTTTGTCCATTAGAAGTATGTAAGTATGTATGTATGTAAGTACGTACGTGTATGTATATAATGTTGACACAATTGTCATTCATAATTATATAATAAGTAAAAAAAAGTGTAAGAACAAATATAATAAAACAGTTGCAAAAGTAAGGCAAAGCATAGAGATAAATGTCATATCTACAAGAGTTAAAATTTCCAAAGAGTCTCTGCTATATACTCTATAAGGAAATTATACTATCAGTAATTAATGCAGTCTAAATTTTCAAATTACATATTAAAGAAGTAGCTAACACACATCTCATTGGGCAACTCCCATTAGCAATGGTTATTTTGGAAACTATTTTCTTCTTATGTAGGCTTCCAAATTTACCTTAATTTAGATCAGATTGCTTTTTTATATTAATGTGGCGAAACAAACTATTTTGGGATTTCATGATCTACTGAAACAAAAACCAAAAACAAAAATTTATATGTCTTTTATTCAAGGGATATAAAAATAGATGTAAAATGTCCATTTGCTTTTTGTTGGCAGAATTTCAATTTTCAAAATGGTATGAACAAAGATCTCAAACCACAGTATTAAAAATTTATGTAGTACATTATCTCAAGGGAAAACTTGTATAACTTCTAAGGGCAATGCTTCCTTCCATCAGTTTGATGTATTGGCTCTCGAAATCATTAGGGCTCAGATGCTCCGTAAGATAACATATTTTGTTTAGTTATTTTAAAGAGCGAGATAAAAATCATAGGCCACTATCTAATTACATACATGACTGTAGGGTATGTAGCTAATTTACTGGTTCTAGTATGAATAAGTGGAGTATATTTTCATTATTATTGAAATAATAATAATGAAACGCCTTTATTTTTACAAATAACTCATGGTAGCGAACACACCTTCCTCCTATTTTCCCCACAACAACCCTGTGAGGTGGGCTGGGATCAGAGAGTTACTGGCCCAAAGTCACTTAGCCAACTTTCATGGCTATATACAAGGCTTTGTAGCTTAGTGCCTTAACCACTAGATCAAACTGGGCCTCGCCTTCCCCTGAAAAAATTGAGAATATACCTTGAACAAGATATTTATTAACTATTCCAATTTTAACTACTATTATAAGATTGGGAACAGATATATGATCTCTGTGATCATATATTGCCTATTACAGATGCACAAAATGTTTAAAATATTCTGTTTTGAGTTTGAAACGGTTGTTTATCTTACTTAGAAACTAGATCTTACTTTTAAAATAGTCCAGAAGTGACATCAAAACAGTCTTGTTTTGAATTTGCAACAGATGTTTCAGGAATGGGCTATTTTTGGCAAGGTTGGAATAGACACCCTATGTGTGAAACATTTCATCATTGGAATATTTTAGCCTATGCCAGTGATGACTAACCTTTTTCCCATTGCGTGCCAAAAGCGGGGGAGCCCAGGGGGGTCGTGCACGGGCGTGCCCACATCCATAATTTTATGGAGGTGACCCCCCCCCCCGGTGCATGAATCTGGCTTCTCCATTGACTTTGCTCACAACTCGACCGAAGCCCTAGTGGAAGCCTGGGATAGGGTGGCCACTGGGGCTTTGGATCGTGTTGTGCCTTTGTGGCCTCTGATCTGGTGTCAATCCCGGGTAGCTCCCTGGTTTACCAAGGAGCTCCGGGAGATGCAACGCTGGAAAAGACACCTAGAGAGTGGTTGGAGGGCCAGATTCATG